GGGGGGGAGGGAGAGGGAGGGAGGGAGGAAGGGAGAGGGCATTAGAGAAATTAAAAATACAGCAATAAGTGTACCTTGTGACAGAGGCAGCGATTTAGAAGAGGTAATAGCCGAACAGAACATTTTAATATTATAAAGAATAAGTGGCATCAGAAGAGTAAGAAAATATTTGTATAACGCACACTCCCTCTCAATAGCAAGATCTGTGCGCTTTAACATCTAATCTTATTACCCCAGCAGACCTGAAGGCATTCTGAAATTAAATAATCGCATACAGCCCACGATGTCATATTTTATAGGCGCTAAAAAACTAACATACTGACAAGATCTTTTACTAGCAATGGAAGGATACTCATTCTCGCCTGGGTAAAGTGGGGAAAATTTGTGTAAAGTGGCTTTCCCAAGGACACAACGTCGGGCCTGGGGCTCGAACCCCCGAACCTGCAACCTCACGATCATGAGTCCGGTAGTCTAACCACGAGACTTCCGACGCCACAGTTCAACGGCTCATCAAAAGTAAAAACAAATAATGTATGTAGTTATGCTCATGTCATTATGAGCGATAAAGTAGAATTAGAGCCACACTCCACCAGGGGCCAGTAGATAAAGTAGAAACATTTAAGAAGCCGAAGTAGCAGACTAATTAAATAACAGGTAACAGATAGCATTTGTATAGTGCAAAATCCTGCTCAACAGCAAGCCCAATGTGCTTTACAATTTCGGAGTGTCTACGTACACGGTAACCGGGCACCTAGCCTCCGTGTCTACGTACACGGTAACCGACAACCGGGCACGTAGTCTCAAGGTCACGTACACGGTAACCGGGCTATTCAGAACTCCCAAGTTCAGTTTTTGTCATCTGGTGTTACCTTCATCCCCAGCCCTCCCCCGACTGTACCTTAAAAAAAAATCCATAATTCCCCATTCCGGAGCCCTATACTTCGAAGCGCACAGACTTTAAATGAACTTTGGTGACCCCAACCGGTACTCACAATGGGATGCGCACGAACAGGTTCACTGACCGGTCACGAAGGCGAGCTCGGCAAGACGCTTGTATGACTCTTTTTTTCAGCAAGTTACAGCACAGGACAATTTAATATTGATTTCTATTCATTCCGGTTACCGTGTACATAGACACTGAGACTTGGTGCCCGGATATCGAGTACGTAGACACTCCGTTACAATTTACATTGTTACTCCAGCAGACCTGGTAGAATTCTGAACCAATCTCAACATCTTGGGAAGTATACAGTGCAGTAGGAAGTATACAGACTTAAAACCGATTGCCCAGTAACCGCCTATTCCAAAGATTTTGAGGGAAGTTTCCCCGCATAGAACAATAGCAACATAAATGAACAAGATATTTCATTGAAGGAAGCAAGCCCCCCCCCCTCCCCCACACACACACATAAACACACACAAGGGATAGAAGTGTAGAGAAATAAATAATAGGCATGGAGATGGACAGATAGCTACACTGCTAGACAGACAGATAGATAGATAGATAGATAGATAGATAGATAGATAGATAGATAGATAGATAGATAGATAGATAGATAAATATATATATACAGACACACAGGCATACAGACACTCTCAGACAGGCAGACAGATAGACAGACACACCGACAGACAGACAGAGAGACAAACAGACAGAAAAACAAAGACAGAGAAAGAGACAGACTGACAGTAGGGAAGAGAACGTGGTCATGCCAGGGCAATGGAATATTCATGACCCACAGAGCCACCCAATCCAATCTTTCAGTCAGCAGCTGGTGGGGTTTGATTAACTGCACCAAGCAACACTCCCCCTCCCCCCCCTTAATAATATCAACGGTCCGCTTAGAAATACAATGTGTACGGGGATGGTATCAAAACCGTAGCCTCTTAAGGTGGCAAAAGTGGCAGCTTGTTTTTGTTAGAGTAAAGAGAAGCACATAGACATGATAATGGTCATTTAGTGCTGGGAAAAAGTGATAAGATAATACTTGATTATACCAGAGGGAATTTTCGTTTGGGCTGTACAGGGCCGCAAAAACCCATGCAGGTATATATAAAAATTTAATTGATATATTACTATAATTAAAATTCAATATGAAAAGAAAAGATAGACATAAACAACGGTGGAAAAGTAAAGAAGTAGGACCTAACAGTAGCACTCTCCAACCATCCGCTCAAAGACTTGGTGCTGGCTCTCAAAGGCTGACAAAAACCACTGATGTAGGAGTGCCAGTGTGTCCCGAATACACATCCCATAGCGCAAGAGGCACCCAATAAAATAACTTCCCAAATCCCAACTCAGGTATGGAACCCACGTCCCCTGCTTTTAGTTTAGTTTAAGTAAGTGTTTTACGACACTTGCAACTCAATAAGGTCATATACGTGCCGAAGAATAGATGTGTTACAAGAGAGTAACAAACATAAAGAAAGACGGAGGGAGAAAAGAACGACAGATGTTTGATAGGAAAGGAGCAAACCACACCAGAGCACCCGTCAACCACCCACACGTCTCCTGTGTTCAACTGGGAAGATCCTACAGAACAGATCTAGGCGTGACTATGTGTCTTGTGCGCTGCTAATGTAAGTTTTGACCCTACTGATTATGGTATCAGTGACCAGGGAAATTTCAAACAGGCAGAGTGGAGAAAGTAAAGACTTTTTATTAATTCTTGTCCTATTTCAATAAAGTTGTCGTTTCCTCTTGACCACAGGGGTGCACTGTTACAATGCCAATGCCAATCTTATTACTCTCACAGGGAGAAATTTGTCTTGGTCGGTTACCATGGCAGTGGATGTTAAAAAGGTTGGGTGCACTCACGCTTACATGTAAGACAGGACATAATTAGTGAATACGTGTTAAGACAACCCTGCACCGTAAGCATTCTCTCTCTCTCTCTCTCTCTCTCTCTCTCTCT